ATTGCAAGAACAAGGGCCTAGCGTGTGCAAAACTTCAAGAACAAGGACCTATCGAGTGCAAAATTGATAGAACAAGGGCCTAGCGTGTGCAAAACTGGAAGTACAAGGGCCTAGCATGTGCAAAATAGCAAGAACAAGGGCCTAGCGTGTGCAAAATTTCAAGAACAAGGACCTAGCGAGTGCAAAATTTCAAGAACAAGGGCCTAGCGTGTGCAAAACTGGAAGAACAAGGGCCTAGCATGTGCAAAATAGCAAGAACAAGGGCCTAGCGTGTGCAAAATTTCAAGAACAAGGTCCTAGCGAGTGGAAAAAGTTTAAGAACAAGGGCCTAGCGTGTGCAAAATTGCAAGAACAAGGGCCTAGCGTGTGCAAAATTGTAAAAACAAGGGCCTAGCGTGTGCAAAATTGCAAGAACAAGGGCCTAGCGAGTGCAAAATTGGAAGAACAAGGGCCTAGCGTGTGCAAAATTGCAAGAACAAGGGCCTAGCGAGTGCAAAATTGGAAGAACAAGGGCCTAGCGTGTGCAAAATAGCAAGAACAAGGGCCTATCGTGTGCAAAATTTCAAGAACAAGGGCCTAGCGAGTGCAAAATCTCAAGAACAAGGGCCTAGCGTGTGCAAAATTGCAAGAACAAGGGCCTAGCGAGTGCCAAATTGGAAGAACAAGGGCCTAGCGTGTGCAAAATTGGAAGAAAAAGGGCCTAGCGTGTGCAAAATAGCAAGAACAAGGGCCTAGCGTGTGCAAAATTTCAAGAACAAGGGCCTAGCAAATGCAAAATTGGAAGAACAAGTGCCTAGCGTGTGCAAAATTGCAAGAACAAGGGCCTAGCGTGTGCAAACTTTCAAGAACTAGGGCCTAGCGAGTGCAAAATTGCAAGAACAAGGGCCTAGCGTGTGCAAAATAGCAAAAACAAGGGCCTAGCGTGTGCAAAATTTTAAGAACAATGGCCTAGCGAGTGCAAAATTTCAAGAACAAGGGCCTAGCGTGTGAAAAATTGCAAGAACAAGGGCCTAGCGTGTGCAAAATAGCAAGAACAAGGGCCTAGCGTGTGCAAAATTTCAAGAACAAGGGCCTAGCGAGTGCAAAATTGGAAGAACAAGGGCCTAGCGTGTGCAAAATAGCAAGAACAAGGGCCTAGCGTGTGCAAAATTTCAAGAACAAGGGCCTAGCGTGTGTAACATTTCAAGAACAAGGGCCTAGCGAGTGCAAAATTGGAAGAACAAGGGCCTAGCGTCTGCAAAATAGCAAGAACAAGGGCCTAGCGTGTGCAAAACTTCAAGAACAAGGGCCTAGCATGTGCAAAATTGCAAGAACAAGGGCCTAGCATGTGCAAAATTGCAAGAATAAGGGCCTAGCGAGTGCAAAATTGGAAGAACAAGGGCCTTGCGTGTGCAAAATTGCAAAAACAAGGGCCTAGCGAGTGCAAAATTGGAAGAACAAGGGCCTAGCGTGTGCTAAATAGCAAGAACAAGGGCCTAGCGTGTGCAAAATTTCAAGAACAAGGGCCTAGCGAGTGCAAAATTTCAAAAACAAGGGCTTAGCGTGTACAAAATTGCAAGAACAAGGGCCTAGCGTGTGCAAAATTTCAAGAACAAGGGCCTAGCGAGTGCAAAATTGGAAGAACAAGGGCCCAGGGTGTGCAAAATTGCAAGAACAGGGGCCTAGCGTGTGCAAAATTTCAAGATTAAGGGCCTAGCGAGTGCAGAATTGGAAGAACAAGTGCCTAGCGTGTGCAAAATTGCAAGAACAAGGGCCTAGCGTGTGCAAAACTTCAAGAACAAGGACCTATCGAGTGCAAAATTGATAGAACAAGGGCCTAGCGTGTGCAAAACTGGAAGTACAAGGGCCTAGCATGTGCAAAATAGCAAGAACAAGGGCCTAGCGTGTGCAAAATTTCAAGAACAAGGGCCTAGCGTGTGCAAAATAGCAAGAACAAGGGCCTAGCGTGTGCCAAAATAGCAAGAACAAGGGCTAGCGTTTGCAAAATTGCAAGAACAAGGGCCTAGCGAGTGCAAAATTGCAAGAACAAGGGCCTAGCGAGTGCAAAATTTCAAGAACAAGGGCCTAGCGTGTGCAAAATTGCAAGAACAAGGGCCTAATGTGTGCAAAATTGCCCGAACAAAGGCCTAGCGAGTGCAAAATTGGAAGAACAAGGGCCTAGCGTGTGCACATTTGCAAGAAGAAGGGCCTAGCGAGTGCAAAATTGGAAGAACAAGGGCCTAGCGTGTGCAAAATAGCAAGAACAAGGGCCTAGCGAGTGCAAAATTGCAAAAACAAGGGCCTAGCGTGTGCAAAATAGCAAGAACAAGGGCCTAGCATGTGCAAAATAGCAAGAACAAGGGCCTAGCGTGTGCAAAATTGCAAGAACAAGGGCCTATCGAGTGCAAAATTGCAAGAACAAGGGCCTAGCGAGTGCAAAATTGGAAGAACAAGTGCCTAGCGTGTGCAAAATTGCAAGAACAAGGGCCTAGCGTGTGCAAAATTGCAAGAACAAGGGCCTAGCGTGTGCAAAATTGCAAGAACAAGGGCCTAGCGAGAGCAAAATTGGAATATCAAGGGCCTAGCTTGTGCAAAATTGCAAGAACAAGTGCCTAGCGTGTGCAACATTTCAAGAACAAGGGCCTAGCGAGTGCAAACTTGGAAGAACAAGTACCTAGCGTGTGCAAAATTGCAAGAACAAGGGCCTAGCGTGTGCAAAATTTCAAGAACTAGGGCCTAGCGAGTGCAAGATTGCAAGAACAAGGGCCTAGCGTGTGCAAAATAGCAAGAACAAGGGCCTAGCGAGTGCAACATTTCAAGAACAAGGGCCTAGTGTTTGCAAAATTGCAAGAACAAGGGCCTAGCGTGTGCAAAATTGCAAGAACAAGGGCCTAGCGAGTGCAAAATTGGAAGAACAAGGGCCTAGCGTGTGCAAAATTGCAAGAACAAGGGCCTACTGAGTGCAAAATTGGAAGAACAAGGGCCTAGCGTGTGCAAAATAGCAAGAACAAGGGCCTATCGTGTGCAAAATTTCAAGAACAAGGGCCTAGCGAGTGCAAAATCTCAAGAACAAGGGCCTAGCGTGTGCAAAATTGCAAGAACTAGGGCCTAGCGTGTGCAAAATTGCAAGAACAAGGGCCTAACGAGTGCCAAATTGGAAGAACAAGGGCCTAGCGTGTGCAAAATTGGAAGAACAAGGGCCTAGCGTGTGCAAAATAGCAAGAACAAGGGCCTAGCGTGTGCAAAATGTCAAGAACAAGGGCCTAGCAAATGCAAAATTTGAAGAACAAGTGCCTAGCGTGTGCAAAATTTCAAGAACAAGGGCCTAGCGAGTGCAAAATTGCAAGAACAAGGGCCTAGCGTGTGCAAAATAGCAAGAACAAGGGCCTAGCGTGTGCAAAATTTCAAGAACAAGGGCCTAGCGTGTGTAAAATTTCAAGAATTAGGGCCTAGCGAGTGCAAGATTGCAAGAACAAGGGCCTAGCGTGTGCAAAATAGCAAGAACAAGGGCCTAGCGTGTGCAAACTTTCAAGAACAAGGGCCTAGCGTGTGCAAAACTTCACGATCAAGGGCCTAGCGAGTGCAAAATTTCAAGAACAAGGGCCTAGCGTGTGCAAAATTGCAAGAACAAGGGCCTAGCGTGTGCAAAATTGCAAGAACAAGGGCCTAGCGGGTGCAAAATTGGAAGAACAAGGGCCTAGCGTCTGCAAAATTGCAAGAACAGGGGCCTAGCGTGTGCAAAATTTCAAGAACAAGGGCCTAGCGAGTGCAAAATTGGAAGAACAAGTGCCTAGCGTGTGCAAAATTGCAAAAACAAGGGCCTAGCGTGTGCATAATTGCAAGAACAAGGGCCTAACGTGTGCAAAACTGGAAGAACAAGGGCCTAGCATGTGCAAAATAGCAAGAACAAGGTCCTAGCGTGTGCAAAATTTAAAGAACAAGGGCCTAGCGTGTGCAAAATAGCAAGAACAATGGCCTAGTGTGTGCAAAATAGCAAGAACAAGGGCCTATCGAGTGCAAAATTGCAAGAACAAGGGCCTAGCGAGTGCAAAATTGGAAGAACAAGTGCCTAGCGTGTGCAAAATTGCAAGAACAAGGGCCTAGCGTGTGCGAAATTGCAAGTACAAGGGCCTAGCGTGCGCAAAATTGCAAGAACAAGGGCCTAGCGAGTGCAAAATTGGAAGATCAAGGGCCTAGCATGTGCAAAATTGCAAGAACAAGGGCCTAGCGTGTGCAAAATTTCAAGAACAAGGGCCTAGGGAGTGCAAACTTTGAAGAACAAGTGCCTAGCATGTGCAAAATTGCAAGAACAAGGGCCTAGCGTGTGCAAAATTTCAAGAACTAGGGCCTAGCGAGTGCAAGATTGCAAGAACAAGGGCCTAGCGTGTGCAAAATAGCAAGAACAAGGGCCTAGCGAGTGCAAAATTTCAAGAACAAGGGCCTAGCGAGTGCAAAATTTCAGGGGGCACCCCCGATACAAGTATGAGGCTTAGCCTAAACTAATAAAATTAGGCTGAAATTTCAGACAACTCATAAAGCAAAACTCTGAAAAATCAGACAAGGTACATAAAGATATTCTTAGACTTCAAAAAGTCTGAACGGACTCTGAATCGGACTACAAAGTCTGATATCTAGGGCCCTGGTTGTAAGGAGGGTCGAGAAAAGGGTCCGAGGAGGACGGGAGAATGAAAAGGGGGACCTTGACATGCAAATGCAGCTCTTGTATGCTTTGATACAATAGAACAATCACACGCTGGTCAATGCTACAATGTGCCACTAACCACACTATGCACTCCACCATGCATGCCATCACCCACACCCCCATGCACATCACCATAGATTCCACCACGCACACCATCGTGCATGCCACCACGCAGCCTAACATGTGCTCACCACCACGCAGCCTATCATGCTCACCACCACGCATGCCACCACGCACCCCTTCATGCTCACTCCCAATCTCACGGCCAGTAGAAGAACCGCCACTGGCCCCCTTCTTATTGGCTGCATTCGCATCCACACTATCGCCACTCGCACAGTCCCCCCATGCCACCAGCTCCACTGTCCTGGAAGAGCCAATCACAGAGAGGTGGCGCTTGCCGAGAGGGGGCGAGAGCACAGCGCCCCTGCTGCCCCACGAGAGCGCATGTCAGCACCTCCCATTTGCCGTCCGGCATCTCCATCCCCACCGCCACCTCCCCTACTGCCACCGGCTGGAATGCCACGTACTTGATGATACGACGGGGTGGGATGGGGTGGAGTGTGGATAAGCATGGTGGTCAAGGTTGCGTTAGGATGGAATGGTGCGCGATGTGATGGTTGACTGACGGGTAGATGAGCATGATAGAGGGAGGAGGGTGCATGCACTGGCAGAGTAGCTGCTTCTTTTGCAAGTGGGAAGAACATACCAGCAGAGGGAAACGGGGTTGACCATGCAGGAGGTTCCAGTGACATTGTGTACCGAAGTTTGTAAGCATCACACACACTTTGAGATAACAAACTCAGACACGGATGGTAGCCCTCAAATAATTCGTTCGCCTTGACGTCATCGCATGTTGGTCAGGGGTCCTGCAATCAATGAGTATACATGTCCATGTGTAACATTAGCAAGTATTACGGGACAAAAAACGATGACGAAATGTACACTCATTGACTTACCAAGCAAGGATCGCGAGGCTGTGAAGGGTTGTCCCTCATTTGTACGCCTCCGCTTCTTAGGGGGCTCGGGTGTTGCCGGTGCAGTGGGGGTAGCAGTGTCAGGCCCGGTTTCCGCTGAAACAGCAGGCGTCATGCAATTCCACTCTCACATTATGTCGTCGACCCAACTCCAGTTCATAGGCCCTAAGATTCGCAAGCTCTTACCACGCCGCACCCTGGTAACTCGACTCATCCTGATCTTGGTTGCACGAACCTCCCTATCCAATGAATGGTTCCAATGCAACACGGTAAGACCAACCCGCGCCCTCATGCTTCCACGAAACAATGTGCGTTTCGGAGCATACTTGCATATCAGTGAATGAAACGATTCATTCATCTAATTGCAAGACCCGTGAACATATGGTCTCATCTCCGCCTCCCCACCCTCTAGCCACTCCTTGAATGCGATATGTGTACGAGAACCATGTTGGTACAGTACACTCTCTGGTCCCCAGTTATCAGCCACGCATCTAGGTGTCTCTGTGCCCCCACCATAGCGCGAATGGTCTCCAGCCCAATGATCAGCTGCACTCCCAATCTCCTTGCCCGCATCCTTAGCAGTCATTGGGACTCCCTGTTTCCAGCGTAGCGCGCATCGTGCCATCACATGATGGAAGTGTACACTAAACCTTTGCGCCACTGTCACCTCCTCGATCAGCTCATCCGGATCTTCCATAACCTTCTCTTGCACTGCAGCGCCCGCCCCACTCCTCTTCCCGCCACGGGAGCCCCTATCCACCCAACGTCGAGCGTGCTCCGTGGTCTCTCTATTCCCGTCTGCTCCAGCTGCAATTGCTCCATTTGTACCTGGTGGGAGTGGCATGACAATACATGGGATTTGGGGTTTCGAAATCGCTCTATGAGGACTCATGTGCAGGGCCTTAGATATCAGGAAAAAAACCCTGAAATTCCTGATTTTGGCAGCCGATTTTCAAGCTACCCTGAAAAGTCAGAGTTGGGATTTTTGTAGGACTGATCTTTCAGCGTTTTTTTATTGGCCACACTGATATTTCAGGTTTTTTTTCCGTTGTACACTGATGCCACTACGTTGTAACGAAACCGACACTAAAAGCGAATCTCACCTGTGCCATGTGACCTCGACCGCAATTGCAGGGAATCTCATATTCCCTGTATGTAGGCACCCCGTGGCGGGACCACCCTTAGAAATGTTGCCTTAGGTTCACGTTGAGAGGTGTTTTTCTGGCGGGGCGCCTCACACCATTGGGCCGTTTCGCTGCAGCATCCAGTGTTGGCGAATCCGAACGTGGCAGACATGTGGTGCTCGCGGGCTGCCAAGGTTCCTGCCCGGTACCCATCACGTGCGATGCGTTAGGTTTGGGCTGTGCTGGCAAGCACCGTGCCATCCTCCACGCCGCCCAACCCATCCACCGTTTCTGCCATCCAGGGGCCCCTTCTTCTCCAAGCTTTGCATCTGAAACAGGGTTTCTCTCGTTCACCCTAGTGTACCAAGAGGCAGCCAGCCGAAGCCTGTGTTTTGCGTTGGCAATCCCTTGCCTCTGCAGTTGTCACTAGGTTAGATGCGAGGCCGTCCGCACTGCTTACCATGGTGGAGCAGCTAGACGGCACGGAAACAAGCGGCGAACACACCGGTGATGCGCATCGCCAGCCGCATGTAGACCGTACCGAAGCTGTGACCAGCATCGATCTGTTGTTTTCGGGCTTAGCGCAGGTCAACGTCAATGTGGCAGCAGCTCCAGCAAGGGAGGGGCAGGGTAGTGGCAGGGGAAAGGAGGCCCTTCAGTAGTGGGAAGAAGAGACAAAGGCTCAGGGGGGTGATGACGATGTCTCTGATTCCGACGATGATGCATGCATGACCCCTCTTAGAGACTATTAGAACTAGAACTCTTGTGACTATTTATCTAAAAGTAGGACTTTAATAGAGAGTCAGTGTTTTTGCAAAAGGTACACTGATGCATCAGGCTTTGAAAATTCGCAACACTGACATTTCAGCCTCTTTTTTTTTGGGACACTGAAAATCAGAGTTAACACGCAGGGGAACCCTGATGGGGTGACGACCCTAAAAGTGAATCTGAGGCCCTGCTCATGTGCAAATGTGCTAATGGATCATATGTATCACAACATGGATGGAATAGCATAAGGGACATCATTGCAATGTGAAACATCTCACTAGTCTCATCAGCACTGGATCTGTGTCTCGGTGCGGCGGCCACCATGCCACGAGTCGCATCGGCGTGGCGCGCCGCAGAGGCCTGCATGATGAAGAAAGGTGCCACCGAGCAAGGCCGCACTCCATGCTCGGGATGTGGATCGTATCCCTACGGCTCTCTAACATCCGAATAATGCAAATTTATCGGACCTGGATCGACTGCAGTCTCTGTGGCCCCCTCCTCCAGAATGTCAATAGCAACAAAGTCGGAACAGCTCTCACGCGTGAGAAAGCTCTCTGTCGTCGCATCATACTTGTCTCTGCTCTCCTCATTTGACTGAGTGATTGGAACGTCAACTCTCTCGACCCTCTCCCCGCCCCCTGTGCACGACCCCTCGGGACAATTCGTGCGGGAGGGTGATGATGTGGCCGCCATGCTTTTGCCGTGTCTGCGGCGTATACGTGTAACTCGTCGCATCTAAGGGTACTTCCACGGCGAATCATCCTTAGACAAATCCAACGACACACCTCCTTTATGAGTTTTATTCTGGGCGTTTTTTTGTTTATACCTTTGAGACCTCAACCTCCATGAACTTTCAACCAGGCACGCATATCATCCGGCTTGACATTCCACCAATCTTCAATGGTCTTTGCCTCAATGGCACGGATCGTGTCCTTTCGGGCGTCCACGAAAAACTTGACGAGCTTTCGTGACAACGAACGACCTTTGTGCCATACGTCCATTTGATACTCAATGTCTGTACCAAGAATACCAACCTTGAAACTCGTCACCTCGTCAGTAATGATACCTTTCACAGGAAACCCCCACTTCTTGAAGTCTTCCAACCCCCTCTCAAAAGCCCTTCCCTCTAGTTGCGTCGACGACACACCTTCTTCGATCTTGGGTAGTGTCACACAGTGTATAATCCTATGCGTGAAAACGATCCATAAATGTGACGCTGCACCACTCGGCCTCTCGTACCTGACCCCACCTACCATCTACGCAAATCCAATAACCACTCTCCCTACGAGCTAGCATGCACTCACGCGCCTTTTCCATACACTTCGTAGCATGAGCAATGATCTTTTCCCACAAACCACCCGCCCCGCTCATGTACTTGTAAAACGTTCTCTTACACGGGATTGGCACACCCAAATTCCTGCCTACCTCCGACAGAGCCTAGTAACCGAAACCTGCAAGTGCGAAAGACGCGAGGAACCGTTGCAGCATCGGCAAACTTTTCCGGCCAGGCTTGTCTGCAGCGCTCGGTGGTGGCTTGCGATCGACAGACCAGACCGAAACGGACTTTCCACACCTGTCGCGGGTCCACACGAGTCCGAGGACATCCCACACCAGCTTCCAAGAGCGTAGCTTCATGGATCCACCACAACCTCCACTCGCAGTGCAATGAAGAGTCATAACCATGAAAAACCGAATGAGGTGTATCGGGTTCAACAGGCATACAACATCGCGAAGCCCGGTGAGGGTTGGTTGAGCAGGCCAGCGTCCGGCTCTGGGCTCGGAGTAACTGTCCAGAACGTGGGCGCTCCTGCATCGATGAATTCTTGACGAGAAAAAAACAATGAATACACACATGGACAACCGGGTTGATGGCCAAATACATGAGTGTGTAATTGTGGACATCAATAATAAATCGTTGCTGTTGGTTGCTCGCGCAGCATTGATTAAGGAAGCCCGATAGTTGGGGTCATGGAGTGCAACAAGGTGAGTCTACAAGGCCATACAGAATCTTACCCCGCATCGGTGTGTGGATCGGCATTGTCTGAAGTATCCACGTGGGTGACTCCTGCCGGCAATCCACTCGGGTCTCCACAATCAGGATCCACCGTGATAGAAACATCGCCTTCTTGGGGAGTGACACATGGATCTATGTCGATCACCACCTCCCGCTGCTCCATGCACCCCTCACCAACGACGTCGCTCTCATTCAATGATGCTGAGACGTCATTCGGGTCATCTGTTGGTTCCAAAATTAACGTTACCGATCGAAATGTGTTATTGAAGGCACTCCCACATGCGCACCTCAAAGTGTACTGTACTAGATGACGCACACACATACCATTCTGTGGCTGATTTGCATATGGCGAATCATGGTCCGCACTCGTCCCTCCATCAACCGTCGCCCCGCCCCCTGTGCGCGCTGGACGTTTCCCCTGAAATGCAGGGAACGCGTAAACCAGGCCTCCTATTGCGATAGGTTGCCTTTCCATCAACGCTTCGGGCCAACCAGCCGCACGATCCTGTCCTCCTTGAAAATTTTCAGCAAACCTCGTCAAATACTCTTCCACCCTCCCTTGTGCCTCTTAACCGTCCGCACCTAACCAATCGTGGTTTCAACGTCAGAGTGTTGGCTACATGCGTTCCCTTAGTACAGACGGAGGTGGGGTATCACTCAAACAAACTCCACTAAGCCATGGAAATTGAATACTCCACTCACCAGCTTTTTTTGCTGCCATCATGAGCGCATCTTTTGCCCCTGACCCAGTGTGCAAGAGGAAGTACACCAAGTCGGACACTGTCGCGGTTCGACCCTCACCCATCAGCGAGCTCAGACCATACTGCAAGTAGCAAATTGGAATTTGCATCGTCTTTGATATCGCGAGGCTTGCCTGGTCCTTGCCCTTTACAATCTCTTGTACCCTTGATCTCCATGTTGCGGAGGAGATCTTTCTCGGACGACCCATTCTGCACACCATGCACCCAAATTGATTATTCGCAACATATGCATTTCAAGTAGCGGATTGGGCGAGCCAACCGCATAGGAGAGGGCTGGCCAGCCCCTTTGATTGCGGTGGGCCCGCCCATAGGATGAGGCGAACATACCGCATGGGAGAGGGTTGGCTAGCGATGGCATGATGACGGAAGAGGGTGGGCTTGCAGGGGGATACTGTGTGCATGATGAGGGGGGAGTGAGGCCTAGCAAGGGGTATACTAATGGCATGATGACGGGGAAGGGAGGGCTAGTAGGGTGGAAACTCATGGCAGGCAATGAGAGGGAAGGGAGGGCTAGCAGGGGTAATTTAGGGCATAATAAGGGGGAGGGGAGGGCGGGGAAGGGAGGGCTAGCAGGGGGGTACCTTACGGCATGGTAAGGGGGAAGGGAGGGCAGGGTAGGGAGGGAGGCAAGGGCAATGGGGGGAAGGCAGGGCAGGTTTGGAGTTGGACTGAAGGAGGTGCACAGCAGGTAGTGAATGGTGGCGGGGTAATGGCAGGGCAGAAGGGGTTTAGGGCAGGGGTTAAACGGCAGGGCAGGGTAGGGAGGAATACCATTGTCTCACCTCGTGCAAAATCGTTGGTTTTGTCCACTTTGCCTTTGTGGACGTGGCGCCTTGTGTGAGGGAGTTGTGACGTAGGGGTATGTGTGCAAGCTAGCCTGCACTTAAACACGGGGCAAATAGGGGCAACACGCGGGGATAGCAGGGGGTAAACATGGGGCTAGCACGGGGAAAACATGGGGCTAGCACGGTGGAAAAATGGGGCTAGCAGTAGGGGGGTAACATAGCACGGGGGATACATGGGGCCTGTAGCGGGCAACATGGGGCTTGCAGGGGGAATCTTTGGGATAACGTGGAGGAATCATGGGAGCAAAGCTTGTGGGTAAACATGACGCAAGCATGGGATGCTAAACGGGGAGAGCATGTAGGCGTGGAAGTGAGGAGTGCGGCGAGCATTCGGGGAGGTTGTTTCTGGGTCGGCTCACATGCCAAGGGCATGCACAGCAGGGCACCCAGCAGGCGACTTTTGAGTAAACTGGTGAAGTCACCTGTGCAGCGTGCAATGCACCCACCAGGCGGGGTTGGCAGCAAGGGGCAGACCAGCGAGGAGAGCAGCCCGAATGGCCAACGGGTCAAGAGAGACCAGGCGATTGAGCGACCCCAGTTGGCAAGCCAGTCGGATCTTAGCGCTCCACACGCTAAGATGACCAGCGATGCACTCACCGCCCAGTCTGGGAAGGGAGGGGGACACAGGGAAACGAGGATGTGACGAGAAAAGGCAAGTAGGATTATGCGGGCTGATAGGTTCCCATGCTGGTGAGCACTCCACACGCTGCTGAGAGCAGCGTTGCACTCACCACCCAACCATAGGAGGGAAGGATAGGGAGGGAAAAGAGGATGTGACATGCGAATGTGCGTAAGAGTGTGGTGACAGGGTGATTCATTTGCTGGCGTGCACTCCACACACTGTTGTTCGCAGCGATGCACTCACCACGGCGCCTTGGAAGGGAAGGGGAGGGAGGGAAAAGAGGATGTGAGTGGCGAAGGTGAGTAAGAGTGTTCTGGAAGGGAGGTCCCTTTGCTGGTGAGCACTCCTCACGTTGCTGTGAGCAGCGATGCACTCACCACCCAACATTGGAAGGGAAGGGGAGGGAGGGAAAAGAGGAGGTGAATGGCAAAGGTGAGTAAGAGTGTTCTAGAAGGGAGGACCCTCTACTGGGTGAGCACTCCTCACGTTGCTGTGAGCAAAGATGCACTCACCACCCAATATTGGAAGGGAAGGGGAGGGAGAGAAAAGAGGATGTGAGTGGCAAAGGTGAGTAAGAGTGTGGTCAGGCACCAGGTTCCCTTGTTGGTGAGCACTCCATACGCTGCTGTTTGCAGCGATGCACTCACCTTGGCACCTTGGAAGGGAAGGGTAGGGTGGGAAAAGAGGATGTGACAAGCGAAGGTGAGTAAGAGTATGCGGGCTGAGTGGTTCCTTTGCTGGTGAGCACTTTCCATGCTGCTGTGAGCAGCAATGCACTCATAACCCAGCCTTGGAAACATGAGGCTAGCATGGGGGAAACATGGGGCTATCACGTGGGGAATATGGGGCTATCAGGGGGGAGAAATGGATCTGACATGGGGGGAACAGGGGGTTCGCAGGGGGAAACAGGGGGCATGATGGGGAAAACAGGGGGCCTGCAAGGGGAAACACGGGGGCTGAAGGGGGAAACATGGGGCCTGCACAGGGAAACATGGGGCAGGCAGGGGAAACATGGGGCAGACAGGGGAAACATGGGGCAGGCAGGGGAAACATGGGGCAGGCAGGGGAAACATGGGGCAGGCAGGGGAAACATGGGGCAGGCAGGGGAAGCATGGGGCAGGCAGGGGAAACATGGGGCAGGCAGGGGAAACATGGGGCAGGCAGGGGAAACATGGGGCAGGCAGGGGAAACATGGGGCCTACAAGGGTACAACGATACATGAATGTGAGGTCCCACGGGTCCTCACTCATCGGGGAAGAGCAGCAAGAAACATTGGGAAATGATTGGGCTAGCATGGGGGGATTATGGACGTGTGCGCTCGGGGTGTACAGGGGGCCTGCAGGGGGCGGAAGCATGGGCCTGCATGGGGAAAAATGGGGCCTACAGGGGGAAGCATGGGGCCTGCAGGGGGGAAACATGGGGCCTGATAGGGGGAAACATGGGACCTGATGGGGGAAAACATGGGACCTGCTGGGGGGAAACATGGGGCCTGATGGGGGGAAACATGGGGCCTGATGGGGGGAAACATGGGGCCTGATGGGGGGAAACATGGGGCCTGATGGGGGGAAACATGGGGCCTGATAGGGGGAAACATGGGGCCTGATGGGGGAAAACATGGGGCCTGATGGGGGGAAACATGGGGCCTGATGGGGGGAAACATGGGGCCTGATGGGGGGAAACATGGGGCCTGATGGGGGGAAGCATGGGGCCTGATGGGGGGAAACATGGGGCCTGATGGGGGTAAACATGGGGCCTGATGGGGGGGAAGCATGGGGCCTGATGGAGGGGAAGCATGGGGCCTGATGGGGGGAAACATGGGGCCTGATGGGGGGAAACATGGGGCCTGCTGGGGGGAAACATGGGGCCTGATGGGGGGAAACATGGGGCCTGCTGGGGGGAAACATGGGGCCTGATGGGGGGAAACATGGGGCCTGATGTGGGGAAACATGGGGCCTGCTGGGGGAAAACATGGGGCCTGATGGGGGGAAACATGGGGCCTGATGGGGGGAAACATGGGGCCTGCTGGGGGGAAACATGGGGCCTGATGGGGGGAAGCATGGGGCCTGATGGGGGGAAACATGGGGCCTGATGGGGGGAAACATGGGGCCTGATGGGGGGGAAGCATGGGGCCTGAACATAGGGCCTGATGGGGGGGAGCATGAGGCCTGATGGGGGGAAACATGGGGCCTGATGGGGGGAAACATGGGGCCTGATGGGGGAATGCGGAAGGGGGGATGCGCAAGGGGGATGGGGAAGGGGGAATGCGGAAGCAGGAACGAGGAAGGACAACGCGGAAGGGGGAATGCCAAAGGGTTACCGCGAAAGGGGGAACGCGGAAGGGGGAAGGCGGAAGGCGGAATGCGGAAGGGGGTTGGCGGAAAGGGGAACGCTAAAGGGGGATTGCGGAAGGGGGAATGTGGAAATGGGAACGCGGAAGGGGGAACGCGGAAGGGGCAGCACGGAAGGGGGGATGCGGAAGGGGGAGAGCGGAATGGGGAATGCGGAATGGGGAATATGGAATGGGGAATGCGGAATGGGGAATGCGGAATGGGGAATGCGGAATGGGGAATGCGGAATGGCGAATGCGGAATGGCGAATGCGGAATGGCGAATGCGGAATGGGGAATGCGGAATGGGGAATGCGGAATGGGGAATGCGGAATGGGGATTGCGGAATGGGGAATGCGGAATGGGGAATGCGGAATGGGGAATGCGGAATGGGGAATGCGGAATGGTGAATGCGGAATGGGGAATGCGGAATGGGGAATGCGGAATGGGGAATGCGGAATGGGGAATGCGGAATGGGGAATGCGGAATGGGGAATGCGGAATGGCCTCCCCGTATTAGACGGCACAAATGCGTTTGGGGACACGTGACACAGCTCCCACCTCTTCTTATATGCGCAAAGACGGTGTGTCCCCTTGGAGAACACGATTTGTCACTGGTACCTGCGCGCGCTATGAATATTACGAGCGCCGTTGCTGCGCGCGTTTTGCTTGCGTGCGCTGCTATCCTGAGCGCGAAATGCTAGAGCGTGCTATGCTGGATCGGGCGGAATGTTAGGGCGCGTGCGAGGCTAGAGGTGAGTGCGATACAGTTGCTGCACAGGATGCTGCTGGCGCGCGATTTTTATAGTCGTTTCGCCCTTTTGGCTAATTCTCCTTCGTGCCTAACTCACGCGCCACTTCGTGCCTGGTCTGGTCGCGCTGCTGGCGTAGCACCTTCTAGCGCGCGCCGTGTTGTTTCTTTCTGGAGTAGGTAATAGGCGCTTATTTTCCTTGGTGTGTGAGAGTGAGTGGTGAGTTCGGTGGCGAGGGCATTTCATCCATTCTGTGACTCACAACCAACCCCACTCTGGTTCCCTCACAACACAAGTGCATCTGGTTTTCGCCAACACTCTCGCTCCCCCAGTTTTTTTTTTCGTCTGAGCGAAATGGAGTTCCATCACTGTACAAAACAAACAGTAGCGCCAAATGTATACTGCTGCTTTAACAGATCCTATCCTATCTACTGGATCCTTTGGTTACATCAGCGAAATCGTAATACATCTGTGTCTTGTATGGCGAATTACGGCCATATCCGCTTTTCACCAATGAGCTGCGAGATTATTTTCCATCCCAGATATATGTTAACAACATGAAAGAAAACAAAACAAACGCCTACGTTTTGTCTTTAGTCAAACACCCGAGTCAGGTTTATATTCGAGCCCAGAAGCACCTTATATCGCTGAAATATTCTGAGCCGATCGGATCAAAGCACAGAACTAGGGCGTCCATCACCAAGAATCAGCTGCACGTGTCATTTCACATCCCAAGGGTCGTCGGCCACTTGTCCTCCCAAGGGTCGTCGCGCCCTTTGTCCTCCTTGCAATGGCGCTCGCCCACGCACCATTCACGGCGCTCCCGTGGTGCCTGTCACGCGGGCCTTTCTTTTCAAACCACCCGCTACGTTCTCCTCCTTCCCGCGCTCGCTGCACGCCAGCTCGGCTCGCTCGACACACGTCGGCGTCGTTCGCAGATGCCTCCTCCCGCTCACCTGCTTTCGCCGTCCAATCTCCGACCAGCTCGCGACTTGAAAGGGACTCGACAAATGCCAGTGAGTCCCCAGCGGCCTTCACGGTCTCTCGCCGCCTTTCGCTGCTTGCTTTTGGGGGCGTCGCTTCAGCCATTTGCGGAAACGGCATTTTTCTTCTTCCACCTCCAGCCGCCGCAGCTGACGGCGACTCGCCGAGCACGTTACAGCGCGGTTTGAGTCGGTACATCAAGAAGAAGAAGCTGGATCCGCTGGAGTCGTTCGTGCCGTCCGTGCTGCTGACGCGCGAGCAGCTGCTCTTAGTCCAGGCCGTCGTCGACGACCAAGCCTCCTCCCCCGAAGACCTCAACCAGGCGCGCGCCCTGCTGCGCGCGGGGCCCGCGGGCACTCTCCGCGGAGACTTGCGTGCCCTTACACGGTACGCGGCGGAAGGCGCGGCAGCGGGGCTGGCCTACACGCCGGGAGGGGACGGCTACTTCCCCGGCAGTCCTGAGGCCGGCGCGGTGGCGAGTGCGGCGGCGGACCGGTGTTTGGAAGCGCTGAGCGGGCTGGATACGCTGCTCCGCCTGAACCAGCCAGACGGGCGTGCACGCATGGCGAAGCAGGCGGCAGCGGCGGTGAGCGCGCTGGACGAGGTTCTGTTGACGGTGCCAGAGGCGATCATGGTGAAAAGTGAAGCCATTGTGGCCAAGTACTTGGTGCCTGCCGCTGACAATGCCGCGGACAGTGCTGGGAGCGCCGACAGCGCGGCAGAAAACGAGGGGGGAGCAGACAGTGGAGGACCTGGGCAGGGAGCCGATAATGGGGCTGGGGAGAATGGCTCGGGGACAGTGAGGCGGCTAGGACAGAAGAAGACAAAGGAGGAGGTGCTGGAGAGTCTGCTGTGAGGACTTGGGGCCTGGTCTATCCTCTAGTTGCTCTGCTGTGGGGCAATGCAAATCAGAGGCAGTACGTACGTATTGTAGGAAGAGATGGCAGGATGTAGGCTGTACGGATGTGGTGAGCAATGATCTGTTAGTACAGACTTGTGATTTGTCAGGAGAACCAGTGTGTGCCAGTGCTCGACACACTGTAGCCAGATCAAGTCATGCATCTCATCGTACCGGTATATGGACTAGTATTAAATTGAGACTGACTGGCCCACCAATCAGTTCCAGACCTCAGTTATATGCATGGGTTTCCTTCAGCACATCAGGAATACTGGTACAAGAAGTTTACGTGCACTGTAAATTCCTTATTGCGGCCGTACTGGATTGATTACAATTCTTATTTGGCCCGTTTTCCCGGAGTCAGCTTTGGACAATTTCCTCCTCAACTAAGGTTCCCGGTTTGCTGTCCAGATTGGGCCCTGTTTCAATGCCTAGGTATGCTCTCTTAGCTTACAGTACAGAAAATCAACGGGTAACATTATTGGTGAGATCCGGACGTCCTCAAACGAATCGAGGGCAGGTCTGCAAGGAGATAAGGAATGTTTTGCCGACAAATTATGGCTGCGCCTCGACGTTCGCGCCAAGCACAGAACACTGCACTACAGCACAACGCAACACAGACTCGCGCGCGGCGAATCAGAACTGGAACATTGTGCGAGCTGCCCCGCTCTCCGCCTTGATCACTTCGCGAATCGTGATCCCCATCGCAATGCATCCATGCCACAATTGCCCTGCCTTCCCACTTTCATCTCTCCTGCACACCATGCCGCCTGCTACGGCGTCCAGTCGATCATACATAGTGTTTGGTCATGCCTTTAGCATTCGGTTCGAACATTATGCCAGTATTAGAATACCGCATACACCTGCTGCTTCAATGATAACCATTTGCACTAGGCATGCAGTAAAATGACACCATTTTGAAACTACTCCTAACTTTGGAGGTGATTTATAGCGTTCCTGACCATCTGAGCTTCATTAGCGCCAACAGGGCTGTTGGGGCAAGCAGCAGCATCCGCTCATGAAGTGCCTCGTGTACCTCATTGCTCTCCTCCTAGTCATCTCATCCACTTCCTCCACCGCTGATCGGAGCCGTCTCCCCTCCTCGAGCCGCTCGTTGCCTGATTGGCCACGCCATCGAGTTACGACGCTTCTCGTGTCGAATGCATCGCTATCTCGTCCGTGGATCCCCTCCCTCCGCTCGTCGCGCCGTTTTTACCTCGCCGTGGGTGATCGTCTGCAGCGGCATGAGCTGCCTCATCCGCCTCCCGTGCTCCCACCTCTAGCGGGTTTCGTCTCCTCGAGAACCCTTCTCGCCCCCGCCTTCACTGCCAGCCCTCCTCCGACATCTCCGCCTCCCCGTCCGCCTCCTCGCCCGCCACCCCGTCCGCCTCCTTCCCCCGAAAGCAGTTTTCTTCAAACCACGTCCCCTTCTCCACCACTCCGACCCTCTTCGCCACCTCCTTCCAAACCCCCTCCCCCTCGCCAGCTTTCCGCTCCCCCTTCCTCCCCTTCACCTTCATCTGCCACTTCCTCTCCCCCGCGCTCATCCCCCCCTCCCCCGAAACAATACCTCCCACCTCTTCCACCACCGCCTTCCCCCCCGCCTAGCGCCGTCAACTCCACCGTTCCAAACCTCCGTCCCATTCCGCAAGCTACGGGCGCGGGGGGGGTGTTCGACGTGCGCTCATTCGGCGCCGTAGGAGACGGCAAGTCCGACGACACCTCCGCCCTCTCACGCGCCTTCGCCGCCGCCTGCAGCTATTTCGCGCTCTACCCGCCGCGCGCGACGCTGCTGTTTCCGCAGGGCTTCAACTTCTTCATCAAATCGCGGTCCGTGGAGTGGAAAGGGCCCTGCAACGGGCAGGGACTGCGGGTGCAGGTGAGGGCGGGATTCATAACTTCGCGCGCCACGCCCATCGTGCTTCATTCCGCAATGCTGCGCGCCAAGCGCCTGCGCCCATGTTCCGCGCGCCTTACTCCGGCTGTGCCCTGCTCTCCGTGCGGCTTGCCCCGCAGGTGGACGGGACGATATCCGTGGATCCCAAGGGCGTCTCCCCGCTGACGCCCATCATCGCGCTGCACAACCTGCGCTACCTCGTCGTCGCCGGCCGCGGCGTCATCGACGGCGGTGGGCAGGCCGTGTGGGGGCGCGCGTCGAAGCGGCCGTACCTGTTGGAGATCGTGAAGAGCAGCCACGTGGAGGTGACGGGGATCACGCTCGTGTAAGTGCGGCACGGGATGGGGTGATGGATGCCCGCGGGGGTGAGTGGTCTTGCCTGGTACATGGCAGATGTGACGAGCGAACACCCGTAAATACGTACGCACACTCACTCACATCCCTTCCTTCCTCCCTCCCCGCTCGTGGCGCGCATCCGCAGCAACCCGCCGATGATGCATCTGAGCCTCAAGTACTGCGCGGGCGTGCGCATCCACGCGTTCAGCACGGCGAGCCCGTACAACAGCCCCAACACCGACTCCATCCACATCGCCTCTAGCTCCGGTGTCGTCGTCGAGAACTGCACGCTGCACGGCGGTCAGTGCACTCACGGGGGGTACACTCAGGGGTGTGCAGAGAGGTGGGTGCACTCGCCCTGGCACAGTGTGGTAGGAATGGCCTCGCTGCCCTGGCTTGAAACGCGCTGTACGTGTCACTCTGCTCGCTCTCTGTCTCGCCTCGCCTCGACCACTCACAGCTCAAGTTGCGCCTCCCACTTGCCATTGCGCGCATGAGCAGGCGACGACAACGTGTCCATCAAGGGCTCCTCCTCCAACATCGTCATCCGTGACGTGCTCTGCACCGCTGGCCATGGCATCAGGTATGCATGGCATCAGGTATGCATGGCATCAGGTGAGTAGGCCATGTTGTGGACGCTGGCGCCTTGTCACAGTGAGTTGCGATTCCTCACAACCCTCACCTGCCTCATCCCACGGCCCCACCCACTCCTGCCGCCCGCCCTCGCCTATCTGAACGCGTGTGCACGCGTGGCAGCATCGGCAGCCTGGGCAGCAGTCCGAGGCGCGGGTGTGTGTCGAACGTGCGGGTGAAGAACGTGCAGCTGGTGGGGCTGCAGACGGGGCTGCGCATCAAGACGTACCGCGGGGGCGAGGGCGCCGTGCACAACGTGCGCTACACCAATGTGCGCATGACAGACGTCACCTTCCCCATTCTCATCGACCAGGTACTCACCTCACGCCCCTTCCACTTACCACTTGCTCGCGTGGCTTCTCCTTGCCGTATCCTTTGTGTCTCTGGCACCAACGTATTGTCTTTCTCTGCCATTGGACACCATCCCTGCTCTCTGCTAGCCCCTTGGCTCTCCTCGTCAGCTGCTTCAACTTGCCCCTCTATCCCTGCAGCCTTCAGTCGTTTGAATGATTTTCATTGCGGTCACCCTCCCCCCTGCCATACTCCTGTCCCCTTTCCCCATGGCCTCCACGCACTCCATCAGTATTACTGCGAGAGACAGCCCTGCTCTGCCAAACCTGGCTCGCTGGCGGTGTTTGACATTCATTACAAGAACATCTATGGCACCACCAACTACACGCGTAGCGGGGGCATCAAGTTTGCCTGCAGCCCACGCACACCGTGCGGGCGTATCTCAATGCGCAATGTGCGAATTCAGCACTCGCGGACCAACCTGACGCTCTCGCCCATCTTGCTGAATGCATACGGCAGCAGTAAGGCCGTGGTGCCAGGCATAAGCACGTCAGCTTGGAAGAAGGGAAAGCTGCCGCGGAGCAAGGCGTTTGCAGTCGCAACTGAGTACAGAAAGTGCGGCGGGTATGTTTGGTACAGGGGGGCATGGGGACTGGAGGCATTGACCTGACACGCTGCATCCTGAGCATTGGGCTTCGTATTTGTCCATGCTGCCTGAGTCTATCCATGTTGTCCTCACTCTACACCACTCTGCCATACTTCTTCCTCACGCGGTTCATGCGTGCCAATATGTGTGAGCAGGCTGTGGTGGGCATTGTTCCTCGGACCCAAAGGGCTCGGCTGGGCATCCCCCAGCTCCTCCTTCGACTTCATCAATTAATGCCCGCCCCCCACTATGTTCGACCATTCCCTCTGCTTTCGAGAAGCTCACTCTACCTTCTCCCGTGGAGTAGAAGAGCAAGGAGAACAGGCTTCATCCAGGGTAATTCCTGGATGCAATCCTTCTGATCCAGTGTAATTCTACATTTGCAAGGTGGCATGCGGTTCAGCGTGGTGCCACAAAATTTGGATGCTGAGCTGGTTGTAGAAAAGTGACCTGACACTGGTTCTCCTCTCCCGTATCATTACAGTTTGTATTGCCTTCAGTAGATGCAAAAACAAGCTGTTTCGATGCATGTTGGGCTCGTTTGCACTAATGCACCTTCGTTTCAACCAAACACCAAGCAATGGCGTTCATATGTGTGGACCAGTTTAGTGTGCAGTGTACACACGGCGACCAGCTTCTGCTTCCACGATGGCAGGTATCTTCGAGCAAATTCCGCTTCAGAAGAATCGCCAGCCATGCAATGCCTTGCTAATGAGCGCCTTCCCTCTGACACGCACCAGCGTACAGTAGTTGCACCTTGCAAAAGCGTATGTTTCGCGCCATTGTTGCCAAACGACTCGGGCCAATTGGCTCGACTCAACAGCCCTGGATTCAGCCTCCCCCTGGATTCTTCTGATGAGACAGGAGCAGCGTAGTGTACTCGCAAACTGGGGCAATATCACCTGCGTTGCATTCTCGTCGGCAAACTTTCGCGAATGCACTCCGCGGTCAGAAAAAAAATAAACCCCATCTGGATGACATGCGATAAGGGATGAATCAACCCTAAACACGGGAAACCGCATCGTGATCAGAGTTGACCCCAGCCCGAGCGGGTTTATCGTTTGACAACGGTCAGTTGACGGTCGGTCGTGTATTGACGCTGCCGACGGGCCGACATCTTTTCTCCAATACAGGCAAGGGATTGCATTGTCAAAGCCGGATGGGCGAAAATAGGATAGGGTGATATTGTTCCCAAACAGGGTACACGTGCGCGTTTGCCTGTACAAGATTCAAATTCGGAGGACTCCACAGCAGAGAGACATGAGTTGTTGTACGGAACAACCATGTGGAGGTCCAGCTTCATACGCAGAAGCCCTCTCTTGTGGTTCTATGGTGCAAAGCTTCGTGAATATGGATTTACTTCCGTTTCTGCATTTGTGCACACGTTGCAAAGATTCAAATCGCGAATGAGAGGAGCATTGCGCTGGTCCCGTGTTCTGTCTTCGTGCCATAGGTACATGAAGTTCTTGTCCACGCACTTCATTGGCGTGAAGGACTACTGAACTGCCAGACTAGACCGTCTGTCCTAACGATATCAGGACAGTTGTGCCCTGCGAAGTTCCGAGGTATTAGGCGTCAATCACACCAGCTGCCGTTGCTGCCGTTCCTTGCGGTTTAAACATACTCCGGGGCTTTGAAGTACCGACTTCGAATGCACATTGTAGCTTGTATGTAGGGTCAATGTTAATTTAAGTGACCCTTTTGGGGATGGAATAGTGACGGTATACACGTCGGAGATGTCGTGGAGAACACCGAGCAGACACACCACCAGCCGAGCTGACTGTGCAGCACAATGCAGGTTGTCGTCCGTTTACAGCACAGTCTGCCTCTCCTATGTGCGCTGCTCACGCTGCTAGCATGTGGACCCCCCGTGGTTTCCGCCGTTCACCGCAGCAGCTCGCTGCGGGACCGAGTGAGCTACGCAGAGCCTGAGCCTCGAGAACGAGAGCTTCTAGGCGAAACCGTGCCTCCTCACGAGCGAAACAGCGACGGCGACGCAATAAGCGCAGATCCGCCGACGGAAGCATGCGTGTTTGACGTCGTGGGCGAACTGTTCAGAAAGATAGACGTGAATCCTGTCAGGTGCGCACTACAGAGTAGTCACTTCTCCTTCTAGTACCCAGCATAGAGAAAACCCTGGATTGGGTCTTTACTAGATGTGTTGCACGGCCGATCGCACTTCACCTAACATGATAACTGTTTCTAGTACCGTTGGCTGCTCGCGTGTTCCAACGGCTGCTCCGTTTCACCTTGTTTGTGCGCCATCCCACCATCAGTCCTTTGCTGAATCTGGAAGACGCCTGGGCACCCGCGGAAGGCAGCACGGGGCTGTCGGGCGACTGCCGCTTCCTACTCACTTCGTCGTGTGACATTGCCGTCGTCCGACCAGGTGAGAGCCTCACGGCCGCTGTTTGATAGGAGCACTGCTCCTGAAGTGCTTGCAAGGACTTGGTGATGCGCCACGTCATGTGAAGTCGTTGAGACATGCTTTACTTGTACAAGACGACTGCTGTTCTGCTACGCGCTCAAATATTCGCCATCGTCCCATTCTTGTTTCCCCAATCCCAACAGCGGCATGTGACGATGGCGATCCTTGCACCATCGACCACTGCGTATGGCACGCCGATAGGCCCTTGCCTCTCGCCGCTTGCTCCCCCCTCCCCGCTTGCTTCTATGCCCCCCCGCATTGCGTGCACACTCGAATCCCCAACTGCTCGCTCCGCAGCCGTTCCTCCCCACTTCCTTTCGCGGACTCTCTAATCCTCCGCCCTCCGCTTTTCAACCATTCTCTCCCGTCAAACCTGACCGCCGCGCGCCGCGTGCACCAGCCGTCCATCGGCGTGGGCCCGAGGACCGTCCGCAACCACCCGGAGCCCCTCTCCCCCACTCCGCGCCTCTCGCGCCGCGTGGTTTTGCACAGCGGCGCCAGGCACCGAGTGCGGGAGCAGCCGCCACAGTCAGCGCGGATCTCCCTTAGTGGCTCCGCGCAGAAGCAGGCGTGGGCGTTCAACGCAACGGCGTGCCCGCTCAACTCCTCGGATCTGCACCTGCTCTACCCGTTCAAGCCGCTGCCGGACGTCCAGCCGTCCGTATTCACGTCGAACGTCAAACCGAACCACCTCGTTGCCACGTCCGGCGAGGCAGCCGATGCAGGCCGCGAGGCTGGGGAGTTCTCTTTAGATCCGTCTCCGTTCGTTCCCGCTGCCGCTACATGCCCACCGCTAGGTCTAGTGCCGGTGCCGCCTCCGCCACATCCTCCGTCGCTGTATCCGCATCCTATCCCTGCACCTTCCCCCACGCCTGCCCTTCCCACAATGCACTCCACCCCTCATCTTCCTCCCTCTCCCCCTCCCCTCCCCCCTCCCCCTCCGCCTCCACCTCCCCCTCCCGTTCCCCCTCCCCCGCCCCCTCCGCCCGTCCCTGCCCCCGATCACTTCCTCCGCCGCTTTCTCTTCTCCTTCCTCCTACCCTTCCGCCGTCCCGTTCGCCCGGCCAAACCTAGCGGTGCAACATCGTTGCCATCCCCTCCGCCCCCTCGGGCCGCTATTCCCCCTCCACCGCCCCCTATCGCTCCCCTACAGGCTCCCCCACCACCTTCCGCAGCGCTCCTTTCTGGTTTCGACAGCACCACTTCCGCCGGCACACTCGCTGACTCGCCACCCCCGCCTCCCCCGCCACCGCCAGACGCCTTGCCGCCACCAAGTCCTCCTCCGCCATTCCCCCCACCTGCTCCGCCACCGCCGTCTCCTCCGCTAATTGTTCCATCCCCCCCGCCCCGTCCACCTCCGCCATCACCTCCTCCCCGTCCTCCTCCCTCTCCCCCCCCTCCTCGCCCCCCTCCTCGCTCCCCTCCTCCCCCCCCTCCTCGCCCCCCTCCTCGCCCCCCTCCTCGCTCCTCCCCGCCGCCCTCGAGAACCACGCCTACGCTACCGCGCAGTCCCCCTCCAAAGAAGCACCATCCACCTCCCAGGCGTTTCCCCCCAATCTTCCGCCGCCGCCCTCCGCCTCCCAAGAGGCACAAGCCTCCCCCCCGGCGCCGTAGTCCCCCTCCCCCGAAACCCGTGGCTCCTCCGCTTCCCCCGCGCGCCTCCCCGCCCCCTCGCCGCAGACCGCCGCCTCGAAGGCGTCGTTCCCCACCTCCGCGTCGCCGCCGTTCCCCGCCTCCCCATCGCCGACGTTCTCCGCCGCCAAGGCGCCGATCCCCTCCCCCGTACGTGCGGCGCTCTCCGCCACCGCCCCGACGCTCCCCGCCGCCGGACCCCGCTCCCAGGGACGGCATCTACAACGTGCGCGAATTCGGCGGTGTGGGTGACGGCACCACAGACGACAGCGGCGCAATGAACCAAGCGTTCCTCGCCGCGTGCAGGTACAGCGGCAGCAGCCCGGCGCGCGCGACGCTGCTGTTCCCGCGCGGATACACGTTCTTCGTGCGGTCGAAGAACTTCGTGTGGAAGGGGCCGTGCGGGGGCGCGGGGCTGCTGGTCCGCGTGGAGGGGCGCATATCCGTGTATCCGCGCGGCGTGCTGGCGCAAAACCCCATCATCAGCTTTCAGAAGATCAGACGGCTCGTGATCGCGGGGTCGGGCGTGATCGACGGCGGGGGGCAGGTGGTGTGGGGGCGTGGTTCGCACAGGCCGTACTTGCTGGAGGCGAAGCTGTGCGAGGGGGTGGAGGTCTCAGGGATCACGCTCAAGTGAGTTGCTGCTTTTCCACGAAATGTGGGACCTCTGGAACCATGCGCAAAACGCGCCTTGCCCCACCCATGCCCATTGTCAACTGTCAGAACACTCAAATTACAAGGTCTCCGCTGCTCGTGCACTGTATTCGCAGTGCATACCTTTCCTACCCCTTCCACATTGTCTGTCCCCGTAGCAGTGAACGAACCGATTGGCAAGGAGCAGGTGTACTCGTTTGTGTGTTTCTCAATTTTGTCGCAATGTTTTTGCACTCGTTCTCCTGCCCCAATGCTGCTGCTGCCATGACATTGTTGCCGCTGAAACCGCTTACCGTCCATACCGCAACAGTTCCTCCCTCTTCTGCTCAAGCGTTCGCAATGTTTTTGCACTCGTTCTCCTGCCCCAATGCTGCTGCTGCCATGACATTGTTGCCGCTGAAACCGCTTACCGTCCATACCGCAACAGTTCCTCCCTCTTCTGCTCAAGCGTGACCCTCCCTCCCGCCCTCCCACCACTGAGCACCATCGCATCAATCACACCCGCGTCGTCTGCCATTGCTGGGTCTGCCTGGTCCCCCCACTCTGACAGGAACCCGCCAATGATGCATCTGAGCGTGGTGTACAGCAGCAACGTGTGGATCCACGACTTCACCACGAACAGCCCCTACAACAGCCCCAACACCGACTCCGTGCACCTTGGTGTCGTCAAAAACGTCGTCGTCGAGAACTGCACGCTGCACGGCGGTGAGCAGCGCAAGGGAGTGGGTTAAAGGGGACAGCCCGTGGGGTAAGGGGACAGGAATTGCTGGGCTGTGGAGGGCAGGGTGGTGCTTGCAGGGCACGAGCTGAGGGGCCCCCAACCCCCCCCCCTCTCCCCACCTCTTCTCCTCACACCCCCCCCCCCCCCCTCCCCCACCATAAAAAAACCCCAAAATACTTTAAGCCCCCGAGGGGGGCAAGCGAAGATTCGCCCCTGTCCCTGCTGTGTGCGGCCTGGCACTGCTACCATACTGCACTGGCTTCCGTTCTCACACACTGCGTTCAACACACTCAAAGCCTCGGGTTTCCATGTGGCTGTGTGGGTGGCCTCCCCTTGTGCCTGAGCAGGTGACGACAACGTGTCGATTGTTGGCTCCTCCTCCAACATCATCATCCGCGATGTGCTCTGCACTGCTGGCCATGGCATCAGGTATGCACTTGGCCACGCCCGATAGTATCAAGAACACATGTATGCCGGGCATCAGGGAGGGATGCATGGCATCAGGGAGGGATGCATGGCACCAGGAATGCATGGCACCAGGAATGCATGGCACCAGGAATGCATGACATCAGGAATACATGGCCACCTTATCCACTTTCCGGCACCACCTTCAACTCTTCCCTGTCGCCCGCCTCCCATCCTGGTGTGGTGATGGAGCAGCATTGGGAGTCTGGGCAAGGAGCACGAGCTGGCATGTGTGTCGGGTGTGACGGTGCAGGACGCAACGCTGGTGGGGCTGCAGAACGGGCTGCGCATCAAGACGTACCAGGGCGGCCAGGGCACAGTGCATGGCATTCGATATGAGAATATCAGGATGCGGGACGTGACCATCCCCATTGTCATCAACCAGGTATGTGCACACAACTCTATTCTCACATCGCCCTTCTTTGTTTCATGCCTTGCACTTCTCTCTGCTTACAACCTCCCTCCTTTGGACCTGCTGTGCTGATATTCTGTGCTGCATTGTGTCTCTTTCCCTGCCCATCACATGGAACAGTTTTACTGTGAGAGGAGGCCCTGCGCTGGCCACCCAGAGAACCTGGCAGTGTTTGATATCTCTTATAAGAGCATCTCCGGCACAACCAACTACTCCAGCAGTGGCGGCATCCAGTTGGCGTGCAGTGAGAGAGTGCCGTGTGGGAAGATCACCATGCGCGATGTAAACATTCGGCACAGCAAGGGGGAGGGGTTGAAGGGCATTTACCAGAATGCGTTTGGCACGAGCATCAATGTGTCTCCCGGTCCCAAATGGGAGCGGGCTCTCTCCCGATCAAGAGCCAGCAGCATTGCAGCCGAACACAAGAAATGTGGAGGGTGAGATTCCCCGATTTCTCATTTGCCTCTTCAAGCTTACTTCTCGTCATGTTAGTGCATTGTATGATTCACTTCACTGTTTTTGAATACTCCAACTCTTTCTGCCTGGCTACGCTGGTTCCATTATCATGCAGGAGTGGCCTTGCGTGGGCGTCGTCAATAGGATCAGAGGACTGGATCAACATGGCATCGCAGATTCCTGATGCTGCACCCGCACTTCCTTCCACCCCAATGACCGATGCTTTGCTACCTCTGAGCATCCAGCCAGCCACGTCAACAGTCCAGCATGCAACAGCCATCAGTACCTGGCTCTCGAGACATGAACACTTAGCTCCGTCGCTGCCTTCAGCACCACCATCATCACCCGGCTCTGGGCCATTCATGCCTTTTCCACGCTCAGTAAATGCAACCAGAGTTTTTACCAAGGAGAACCATGAGCCTGTGTGATAGAAGTACCTGCACTTGGATGGAGGTAGGATGAGGAAAGGCAATTTGGTCCCATTCAGTACTTGGCTTATGTATTGTTTGTTGTATTGATTTATCAAGCTGTGTTCGCGAATCAGACCTGAAGGTTTATTGGTAAACTAAGTGTAATTTATTGTGTTATGCGCAAGATAGGAGGAATTGGCCGGTGATGTAATAGACAATAATCCATATATTTAATTGCAAGTAGAGGATGCAGATTTTAGAATTGGGTACATCAGATGCAAATGGCCAATACTGGTTTTTTTCTTTCTATGAACCAACTCATTTCTTTGCCAGTTGCTTGCTTTGCAGTTTGCTTCATTAAGGAAAACATAAGCAAAACGGCCTTGATTAACCGAATGACCTGTAAATAGTCTTACACATCTTTGAGTGAAACTGAGATGATGTCTGTAGCGAAACAAGTTGGCAGATTACCGCCACCCGCATCGCGCAGAGCCGTGCCGTGCGGCAAAATCTAGAGATTCCGCGCCCACGCATGGTGCGCTGCAGGGATGAGAAGAAGCATTTCGCAGATTTGGAAATGGAGACATGAGACGGAGAGAAGCTGGTCTGGGGAAACAAAAACAGCAGCTTGAAGTGACGCTTTTGCGTCTGTTCGTTGTCATAATCCCCTCAGCCCCAGTTATACTAGCTTTGAAGTCGAGTCGTGTTCATAGCTGCCTACTACCATACCCGCAAATGCCGATACGTGTGAGATCGCACGCCGCTTTGATAACCGTGGTTGCCCTCATTGCTGTGGCGTCGCGAGGCGTTCTCTCCCAACAGAAGCCGACTGAGTTGACCTTTCCGCTTCAAGTATCGATTCCCTCGTCAGACCCGCAAAACCTGCAGGATCTCGTTCTTCTAGCACCGCGGAGCTCGCAGGATGATCGCATCCAGATCCGCGACGCAGCCGCCACAGTGGACGCGTCTGCGACCCCAGTTCCGCGCCGCTACACGGAAGATCTTGTTTCGGCAAACGCATCGCCGTCAGACGAGGCCGACGCGTATCACGGCGCGATAAGCGATCACGCGAAGGAGGATTTCGTGACGGAGCTGTCAGATCCAGAGACAGGCATGCCTCAATCGGCGTCGTTCAGCAATCTACAATCACCCGCTTCACCAGTAGCAGCAACAGCTGGAGAAGATAGTAACCATGGCGAACCGGAGCCATTGGCGGTAGCAGTCCAACCAGGCCAGCCCACCTCCGGTGACATATCTTCATCTGCGGAGAAAAGGGGTTGGATCGGCAGACCTGTGGAAGTCTCTCCGACTGTGAGTCAGCCCACGGAGGGTGCGACTACCGATCGATCTTTCCGTACCGGCGCCGCCGAGGTCATCCCGCCATATCCTCTCGCCAGTCCCTGGCTGTTGTCACAGCCTTCGCTTCCAAATCGCTTGCGCCAGTCACTACCTCTGCCTCTGCCTCGTCGGAAGTACCGCTGACCGTCGCCTCTCTTGCTGCTCCTCTCACGACCGTTCCTGCACGAAGCATCTCAACATCAGGCGCCGTTTCTCCTTCTCTACACTCCGCAACCTTCCCTCAACCTTCATTTGAGCCGACCCCGCAAGTTTCCGCGCAATCAACGTCTGCTCCGCTCACTTTCGTCCGCCTCCCCGCCACCTCTGCGCAGTCCGCGTCATCATCCAGTCCCTCCTCTCCGCCACCTTTAGTCAGCGTTTTCGACCCGCGGGCATTCGGCGCCGCGGGGAACGGCGTTAAGGACGACACCGCAGCTCTCAACGCCGCGTTCGCCGCTGCGTGCGCGTATCGCGCACCCGTTCCCGCACCCCGTGGCCGAGCGGCTCGACCCACCGCGCCGACGCCTTCCTCTCCCAGCGGGCCTTCCTTCAAGAAGCAAGCGGACGCGAGCGACACGGAACCCAGCAAGCCCGACAAGAGAAACTCGGGGGAAAACGCGGTTCCCAGCGCTGGCAATAGATTGGCAGCGAGTGCGGCGCTTGCCTCAACTGCGGCGGAGCAAGGCGAGCGACGAGTGGCGCAGCAGCAGGGCAGTGCAAGCCCCGCGCGCAATGATGGTGCGGTGGCCTCGCAGCTGACTCCACGTCAGCTGACGACGGATGCTGCGGCGATGCCGGTCCAAGGAACCGCCAGCGGTGACGCCGGCGCGACGATCCCCATAGATGCAGCTCTTGCGCCGGAGCGGGCGACGCTGCTCCTGCCCGCCGGACGGACGTTCCTGGTAGCTTCGTGGATCACATGGCACGGGCCGTGCCGAGGAAACGGGTTGCTCATCCAGGTAACATCCGTGACGTGCATACTTTCAATGATCGTAGGGATCTTTACCCGTTGTAAGGCCGTCCTCTCCTAACTCACGCTATCTGCCGTCCCCACATGGTTTCCGCCTCTTTCCATCCTGATTGGCTCCTTATTTCCCGCCTCCTTCTGTCTCTTATATATGCCCCGAGGGCCCTCGATCGCAGATCGACGGGCTGCTGCAGTTTGAGCCGAATGCTGCGAAACGAACTGGTCGTGGCGCCATGATGGTGATCACACGGGTGGACGGGTTGACTGTCGCGGGCGCCGGCAGGATTGACGGCGGAGGTGACCTGCTGTGGCGGCGACCGGCGAATAGCCGGCCGCACCTGCTGCTGCTGGCGGAAATGCGGCGAGTGGTGGTGACGGGAATCACACTGAGGTGAGCGTTGGAGAGGCTGACAGAGACTTCTGGGAGGGATGATGTCGGGACCGCTCGCAACCATTCTCTGAGGACGCTTCGTCCCATAGACGGTGCCTCTGAAGCAGCCTTTTGACGGCCGACTCCGTCCGCCTCGTGATAGCACCTTCCAACTCGCCTGGTAACAATGATCTCGTGATTGGATCCCTTTTGCCCCTGCCCTGGCTGCTGTCCTTCTCAGCAACGCGCCCATGATGCATCTGGTGCTGCGATCGTGCGTAGGCGCTGCGGTGAGTGGTATCGCGACGCGCAGCCCTGGCTCCAGCCCCAACACGGACAGCATCCACGTGTCAGCGTGCAGCAACGTCAGCATCAGCGACTCATGGTTGCACGGAGGTGGGTGGGCACTCTACCGTCCTGTTACAAATACGCTGTAGCGTTCAACAAGTTTGTGATTTTAGGTATCACTTCCCCGCCCTGCGTGAGGTTATCTTTCTGGATCTTGCCGAAGCTGCCTGCCCGTCCGCCTCGCGTGTGTGTCCCCCTGCGTGCTCTTGATCTGATCTCCAGGCGATGACGACGTGTCAATCGTGGCGGGGTCGTCGGGCATCAGCATCAACAACGTGATGTGTACCGCCGGCCACGGCATCAGGTGAAGCGGGAAGAGGGGGAAGCGCGTGTGGGGCTACCGGGAGCATGATTTCATGATGGGCGTGGATGTCCCATGGCCTGCATAGATGGGTGTCCGCCACACGGTGGGTACCGCACTGCACCTTGTGCACCGCTCAACTCATGTGCGCTCCCTGCGTACTCATGCATGGCTGCGCATGTGCGCCCTTGTGCGTGCAGCATCGGGAGTCTGGGCTACGGTGGCAAGACTGCATGCGTGTCCAACGTGACAGTAACCAACTCGGTGCTGTCAGGGCTCTCCAACGGGGTGCGCATCAAGACGTACCAGGGCGGCAGTGGCTCCGTGTTCAACGTGCGGTATGAGAACATCACCATGCTCAACGTCGACCGCCCCATTGTCATCGACCAGGTGCCATGCCCGGACGCCCCTTACCCCCGTATCCTGCCCTCATGTCACTTTGGCTTGGTCTCTCATGAGCCTCTTGCAGGAAGGTCATGTGCCTCGTAATACCATCATGTCCGTTGCTCTGATTGACTGCATCACTTCGTTGTTCCTGCCCGCTTTGCGCTGTGATAACCCACGCTTGGATCCCATGCCATCGCCCCCTCATCCGCCCCTCCTGCTCTGTCTCTCATGCTTGCCCTCTTCACCCTCCCCTTTCCAACCCCCCACCCCCCTTCCTCAGTACTACTGTGACGCAGAGCCATGCGGGTCGGGTGTGCAGGCACTTTCCATCTTCAACATCACGTACACGAACGTCACCGCCACGGCCGATGCCACCAAGGGCCGGGGCATCATTCGCGGCATCGACCTGGCATGCAGCCGCATCGTGCCATGCACCGGCATCTCGCTTTCCCAAGTGCGCATAGCGGGGAGCACACGAGGAAGAGGGGCTGTGGGCAACAGAAGGGTGCAGCAGTCGTTGATGGAGTCTTCGTCCCTTTCGAGCTTTGATCCCGCATCCCAAACCGCCATGCGCCTCTCCAACGCCTTTGGCGCCAGGGATGGCCGCGCGTTCCCGCTGGTGGATCGCGGTGCAGCAGCGAATCTGGATTCTGCTGCTGTGGACGAGGACGCGACAGTGGCGGATGCTCTGGTTTCCGCGGAGCAAAGATTAGCGCTGGCAGCCCAGAGACTCAAGTGCGGGTGAGTCGTGAGGAATCATTACCACACGTGGCCTCAGGGACTGCTGTTCCGTGTTCTCCCCCTCCTCTGTCACCTATACTTCTGTCATGTTCCGCTACGTGTACTCCACTCACCACACCACCCTTCGATTGCAGGGTCCAGCCGTGGGTGGAGTTTGGAGGGTCTCTATGAGGCACTTAAGGGGACGCGCGGGTGCCTCGCTGATCACAGGGAGCATGGATGCAGCTAGCCAAATTGGACCACCAGTGGATGCAGTGAACTTGTTGGCGGGTGTGGAGGAGAAAGCGTCCGCATAAGTCATTGTTTATTTCTGCAAATAAGTGCTTTGTATAGTAGAGACGGCACAAAAGGATGGCAAATGATATGTACAGTAAGAGTGGAGTGTTATTGGTCTGCTACCATAATATGCAAAATAAAGGGACTTACTTCCATACTCAAATCAATCCCCCACTACTGTAGTCATGAAGGAAAGCGGAACCAGGGCTTGCTGGGCTCTTGTGGTTGTGGATGCAACATCACCAGTCTTTACAGGAAATAGATAGATCATGAAATTTTCTGGGTCACATTCACCCACATTCTCTTGCAGCTCGTGACAAGGCAGCTGAGAGGCCTCATTTATCCTCCTGACAGGTAGAGGATGTGTTGATGGAAGCAAAGCTTCCTTTCAATCCTGTTTGTCAAGAATACCTAACATAAAATGACTAACGTCAGAGCTGAATTACTAGTCAGACCCTATCTCCTGCTACACCTGGTCGACTCTGTGTCGACCTCTTGCTGCCTGCCACGTCTCCCACAGATGTCATCGGCAATCAGCCGGGCATTAAGCACCCGTGGGGCCGTCAAGGGCGACGGCGGCGAGCTTCTGACTTGCTGTGCAGTGGCTGTAAACCCCCGAGAGGAAATAGGTGGTGGTGTTGTCGAGCGGGTTGCTGAAGCACCCCTCGCCCACCCCGTCCGTGCTGTTGCAGTACGCCGTGTACCGGTCGTACTTGCACGCGTCATAGTCCTCCTTAGTCGGCACTATGTACACCTCGTCCATGTGTGCCGCGTACTTGAAGTCTGCTCGAGGAGCAGCGGGAATGAGGAATGGGAAGGGTGGCACGGAGAGGGTGAGCTCAGGTTGCGAGAAACCGGCATAGCAAGGGCGGGAAGAGACGGCAAGGGAATGGCAGAAAGCCATTAGGTCAAACAATGAAGGAGGAGAGCGAGAGAGAGACGAGGACAGCAGCGGGAAGCCTGCCGCATTGCATGTGGAGGAGGAGACTGGGTAGAGGGTAAAAAAAGACAAGGTGGGGCATGGGGCAGCGGAGAGACAAGGACGTACAGAGCACGTCGCCGGTGTAGAGCGTGTTGTTGAGCATCCACTGCGTGTAGTTCACGGCCGGGTTCCACGGCCACGTGTACTCGCCCGTAGGGTACCCCACCACGATGTCGCGCGGCCCGGTTTCCACCGCCACCTCCACCGCTAGCTGCCACAGTGCGCGACACACGCCGCGCGTCGCGGAGGGGGGGGGGGGGGGTGGGGAGCTTATGGCTTGCAGACACGACTCGTTTGCGGGTGAGCGGCGCGGTGAAATAACGATGGGCGCTGTGACCCTTATCCTCCAAGGCCTCTAAAGCTTATTTGCTTAAAGAATCCCGAGACGCGCCTTCTAAGCCTCCTCATGCTCACCTGCATGCTGGAGTTGCATCGCGCCACCATGCCCGACGTGAACAGCGCCGTGCCTTCCGATACAGGCACCTTACAGCCGGAAACGCCGTCCACGTCACGGCACACGCGCGTCCCCTTTGTGTAGACGCAGCGACGCATGTCATCGAGGCGCGAGAAACGATACACCTCGTCGGCGCCCCTGGGGTAGTAAAACACTGTAGACACGGGGACGAAGTGGGCGAGGGGTGGGACGGGATGGAACGGGCATGTCTGACGGCTACAGCTACTCGTGTGAGGGCTGCGAGTCTCGAATACGGAGTGGCGAGCGCACCACGATCAACTGACTTACCGAGCACGTCGCCTTCGTAGACGCGATTCGCAGGGTCCTCGGCCCACGCCGTGAAGTTGACCTTGGGGTTCCACCCATAGTTAAACGTCGAATCCGTCGTTCCCACTGGGACGTATCGCCTCCCCTCCGCAGGGACCACGTCGGCGGACGCGGCCCGTGAAGCTAATGCGGCGGCGGAGAGCAGAAGCAAGACGCAGCTGTGCTGAAAAGGCGACATCGCCCTGTGAGCCATGTATTCGATGATGTTGGGTTTGCGTGTCCTGGTAACTAAAGAGTGCGGATGTTAGTCAAGGAATCTTGCTAAAAAGAGGCCAAGAGTAGGAAGACACAAAACTACTGGACGGGCGTGAGTTTCAGAAGGCAACCCACGGCATGTATGAGATACCCACGAGAGGTGAAACGGTTCGAGCCGGATGGTGCTCTGCGAAGTCGTAGATAGCTTACTGGGCAGGCAGAGCAGAGCGAAATGATGATTGATGCACCCGTCTTGGCCTGCGATACCAGGTGGAGTCGCGAGTGACTCGAGGCACTGCAGGCAGAGAAGCGAGCAGAGGGAGGAAGCGAGGGGAAGAAGGCGGGAGGGGACGAGGAGGAGAGGGCAGGGCGGCGCGACAACAAAGTAAAAAATTGGCGCAATCTGGCAACAGACCATGGCGAATCTGTCAGAGGCAGGGAACAGAGAATCCAGTGGGGAGAGCTGTCTGTCTTCGTCGTGTGCCGCTAAGTTACCACTTTCTGAGTTATCGCCAAACAATGTGCCACTGGGGGGTTTGTGGCTGAGCAGTTGGTTTGGTCAACGTTCGCGGAACTAACATTGTAACGTCCTGCGAAGAAGTCAAATCCATGTCTATTCATCGCGAGATTGCTAGACGAACACAGACAGTCATGTGACGAAAGTAACCATGGTCATCGAGCCCCGTTAACGAATGAGCCACACACTCGTATAGCTCGCGTTAGTGTTCCCATAACTGATGTGCATAATGTATACTTGATAACAGTAAGGTTTGACTTTCTGAGAGTTGATGCGTCCCTTGCAGTAGGTCAAGAAGGCACTGAGGGTTCCTCTGACCCTGCACACGCACCCTCCATGCCGTCCACACCATGAAAGACACATGCATACCCAATCAAGCCAAGGGTCCTGTGGCACTCTACCGATGAACCGCCATCATCACTTTTTCTCCTCGTCAGCTTTCCGCATATCATGAGTCTCTATGCCACCGTAGGCGCGGCTCCATTATGTACAGACTAGCGGCGCTTGCAGCATAGAGGCGCGACATGCAAGCATAGGGACGAGACCTAGGCAATAGGAGCGCGCACGTAGAAGTGTGCATTTTCTTAATTTATTAAGAGGCTGCAAGATCAGCTGCATTTCGCTCGCGCGGACTGCACGGCAACCGATGGCGGACGCCGACGTGGCGCAATTATGCAAGAAGCTGGAGGAGCTCGAAATGGCCGTGCACAATGTGGGTTGGCCGTAGCAGCTAAGTACAGAAACAAGCAGCTGGGCCTCCGGCGCCAGATATCCGGGGACGGTATTAGGAAGAAGAAACCGTTCACACATATGCCCTACTGTCTCTTTAAATAATATTTCTATTGTCGGGCGTCGGTACTGGCTCAATCCACCCCCCGACTCCTCCCCGTTCACTCTCACACCTCTCTTCCTCTCAGGCGCGCGAAGAGGCGAAGGCGAAGGCGCAGAAGGCGGAAGAGTTGCAGAAGAGCCTGGTAGGTCGCGTGTGCCGTGCGAGGACTTGCGCTGCTGCGCTCCTCGCAAAAGAGAGTGACCACTCAAGAGCCTGAAAGGTTGTGGGGGGGAGGGAAGGATAGCGGGGACGAAGAATTGTGGGAGCCCGTACGTGGACCAGGCGCTTTCCGCCTTTTGGCGCTGTAGCCATGTTATCCCGCGTTCCCCTCCCCTTTTTTCTCTCTCTTCCCCCCCCTCCTTCCTCCTTCCCCTCCTCCCCCTCCTCCTCCTCCTCCTCCTCCTCCTCCTCCTCCTCCTCCTCCTCCTCCTCCTCCTCCTCCTCCTCCTCCTCCTCCTCCTCCTCTCCAACCCATGCACACTCATTCACTGCCAATCCACTCCCCCCATCTCCCCACCTGTCCACTCAACCGTCCCCTCTCCGTACCCTCTTACCCTCCTCCCCCCCCCCTCCCCCCCCCCCCACCTCCACCCTCCCCCCCACCCCCCCCCCTGCGCGCCAGGCGGCGGCGGAGGAGGACAACAGCGAGCTGCAGACGGGGTGGGCGGAGCTCAACCGCCAGAGACTGGAGGCCGAGGAAGCTGCGGGCAAGCTCAAATCGGAAACGGTGCGCGTGGGGCCTGTGTGGGGGGAGGGAGATGGGGAGAGGGAGGAGGAGAGGGAAAGGACGAAGAGAGGGTTGTTCCAAGGTGGGGATTGGTGCTGTGGTGTGAAGTATGGCCGTTGGGGGAGGTGATGGTGGGGAAGATGTTGGTGGAAAAGCTATGGATGGTGGGAAAGGGGGAGTAACGGGATGGTAACACAACAGGGACATGGGCATATGTACTCGTCCTTCTGTCAGTCCCTTCCGTTCGCGAATCCACCCCACCCCCCGCACCCCCCTTCCCCCGGCCCATCCCTTTGACCATCTCGACCCGTCCCTTTCCCCTGCTCCCGCCCACATGCACTGGTGGTTCCCCCAGGCGCGGCTGGAGAAGGAGGTGGAGGAGCGCCACATGGAGGCGGTGCGGCTGCGCGCCGAGGTGGAGGAGGGCAGGCGCGCCATGGAGGAGAGCAAGAAGGCCGCCGTGATGGCGGCGCGCGAGCGCAAGGCGCGCGAGCTGGAGTGGGTGTCGCAGATCAGCCGCCTGCAGTCCGCCGCCCAGACCTCCTCCATGGCCAAACTGCAGCTCGTCGCTGAGGTGTGGGGGGGGAAAGGGGCGGGTGACAGGGGGAGGGGAAAGAGGGAGGGGAAATGGGGAGGGGAAATGGGGAGGGGAAAGGGGGGGGTGGAAGGGGGAGGGGAAAAGGGGTGGGGAAAGAGGGAGGGGAAAAGGGGAGGGGAAAGGGGGAGGGGAAAGGAGGAGGGGAAAGGGGAAGTGAAGGGGGAGGATGAGAGAGGGGAGGGAATGGAGAGGGAGAGGTGCTGCCTGGGCCTGCACATGTGGGTGTGCTGTGCATGTGCGTGCATACGTAGGAGTGTTTCTTGCCTCATCCCTTACTCCATCCTTTGTCCCATCTGTCACCCTCCCTTATCCCTTACCCTTGCCCTTCCCCTTGCCGTTCCCCATCCCGTTGCCCCTCCCCTTGCTGTCCGCTTGCGCCCGACCTCAC